AGCTATGTTTAGGTATCACTTTCAAACTTACACAAAACAGTGAGATGTAATGTTGGTTGAATAATATCAAAATTGTACTCCGATTTCTAGTACAAAATCTGAAACAATTTCAACTGGGTTATTTGAATTATCTATTCTATGTGTTGAAAGTTTTGTTGAGCTTACTTAAGTATGGGAACGGAAGTATTTTCAAATAATTATTGATACAGGCCTAGGCTGAATAAAATTGAAGGCTGCTTATCCTCGTGTACGGTACACTACTTTGAGAAATGTCAAACCCTTGTTGGGATAATGACGGAGATAAAGAGATTCCTGCTAAAACCAGATTTGTATATATTAAACGGGGACCGCCTCCGGGGGACCAACTGTGAATATCTGTGTCAGTGAAAATGACATCGTTTTCAAGGTATACTGTCTTCTGAGGGTAACGAGATTTTCTTGTAAACCATATGCAGTGGCCAGCTGCAATGCCTTGGGGTTGTTACAAACAAAATGTCCTCGAAGGCTCGACTTATCCGGAATAGAGCAATACAATGCCTGAAACAACGAGTTGGCAATGTCACCATCGTCCCCATACAGGGGCATTATGGCAAACTCACCGGGTACCATTTTATAGACGACCCCATAACCCACGATTTCACGGGAACCACGGCTGAGTGCAATCAAAACATTTACAGATCTATTGCACCAAACATTTAAAAAATCCGGTCTTAGAAACCGAGTTATTTTGCAGTCGTACTGCAATAAATTATTGAATGAAACTTCTCGAAATGGCACAATATCAATATTTACATTATTATCCAGGGAAAATATTGAATGGTCGACTTTCCCACGTAAATACGCTGTCTCAAAATTGATGTCTAAATGTCTGAAACCAGCTTTGGAATACACTTCACTTCGATGTTGACCGTGTGACGTTAATCCAACATTACGGTCTCCTGCATGCTCGAGTATCGTCTCCAACATCTTTTTCTGTATTCCCTGCCTTCTATGCTCTGATTTAGTTATAGATAGCTCGAAAAAAGCAAAATCATTCGAGTGGATAATACTGTATCCAGTACCTGAGAAGTTGAAAAATCGAGTCATTGTTTTGTTAACGGCAATAAGAACATTTGGCAATCAATAACTTCTGAGTAGAATGATTTGCTCATTTATTATATAGTCTGGAAGCTGATACCACATTTGCATATTCTTGAAATCATGGCCTTGATCTCTCCACAAATTAACATAAGGTCTACAGAGGGAGTGAAATAATTAATTCATTTTAAGTTCATGTAAATAGATTTACCTATCAATGTCTCTTTTATTTTTAACATTATAGTTTATTCTGCGGTCATGTGTATATTTCGGGGACATGGGTACACCTGGGTACACGATAACAGAATGCTGCACAACTGAATTGATCTTCCAATCAAATACATATAATGACCTGCTTTCTGTCAACACATTTAAATTACGAAATCTAACTTGCCATAATTTATGCGCAAACCAAATAGAATATGTGATATATGTCGTTAAAATATATATTGCATGAAGAGAATGTTTGAGAAACATACCGTTATATCGGTATGGATATATGTCTAGTCAACAATACAATACGAGGTTATTAGTTTTCTACCTGGATGGATGTAGGCAAATGGTAATTTTAGCTAATCATATATACATAGAACAATCTCCCTTTAAACAGATAATGGCTTACACATGGCAGGCAGTCAGCTGCTATTTAAGTCACAA